ATTTGAAGTCGAAAAAAAAAATTTTGATTCCAAATAATATTCAATATCATCATCAGCCGTAAGACGCCCACTGCTGAGCATAGGCCTCCCCCATAGATCTCGACGACGATCGGTCCTGCACTGCCCGTATCCAGTGGCTTCCTGCAACCTTTATAAGATCGTAGGTACTGAGCGTTGTCCGGTACGGGGTCTCCATTGTAGAACTCTTCCACCCCAACGGCCATCAGTTCTTTTTGCTATATGTCCCGCCTACTGCCACTTCAGCTGAGCAATTTTTTGAGCAATATCAGTAACGTAAGCTACTGACATTACTGGTTGCTCGAGTCAGTAATTCGATCACGTAGAAAAATACCAAGCATTGCTCAAGATTACCCAACGGGAAATGAAGAGATTGCCGTTGGGTGACCTTGAGCCTTCTATGAGACCACGTTTCGCTTCCGTAAGTCATCACTGACAACACGCACTGATCGAAGATTTCATAAAATAATTAGGGTCATCCCATAATCATTCTGAAAAATAACTAATGCAAATAATTACATTTCCTTAACAATATGTCTATTATTATAAAGAGAAGATTCGTTTGTTTGCTTTCATTGAATATACTCCTAGAACAAAACTACTAGAACAAAAATTTAAATATTCATTCAGCTGCGGAAATTTAATATTATATTTTAGTTTCTTTTTAGTTTATTATTCAATACTTGTAACGATGCGGCATCATCTTCAGTGTCTATTTATTCGCATCCTTCATATTCAATCTTTTTTTGTCATTTCATTATATTTTCTAATATACTTGCTAAGGATTTCAATTTAATGCTGTTAAATATTCTATATATTGTTATAGCTAAATCATCGTTAAAATTAGTTGAAGATAATTTTCTACTTAATAAAATATACTATGAAATAAATCATTTGAAAATCATATCAATATCCTTGTGTAGGATATTGACTTGTGTCGGTAGATAACTTGAATTTAGGTATTGTCGGCAAAAATTTGAACCCCATATAATTTTAATTTTAACTAAAAGTCTGAAAAGAAAAGGTAGAAGAAATTAACTTTAAATGACATAACTAGGAATGAATAAAATCTATATTTTTTTACCTTCTAACATATATCTCTAAGTATATTATAATTAAATAAATACAGTAAATAATATTTATATCAAAATATAAGATGCAGCACATTTGTAGTAACAAAATATCCAATGTAATAAGCTAAAATTATGAACTGTGTTAAAGCCTTATTTGATTTGAATTATCTTCCAAGTCGTTCTTATCTATGTCACGCTCGTATACGTACCGAGTCAAATATTATCGTTACGGTCCCCATAAAAGCCCCATTAACCGACCCCTACGCATACTAATGCGGCCAGTCAACGGTAGGTTAGCGGCGAGTGAAATTTACGCATTTTTTCATAATTTTTAGGAAAATTATCTCATAACATAACCGTTTACGTCATGGTTATTCTAAACCAAAATACCATCAAAATTAGAAAAACGTTGAAGCTAATATAGTATGTATTTGTTAATTATAGCAAGCTAATTTTATGAAACATGTACCCAGTTCTTAAGCTAAATACGACATACTGCTATGACATTCAATGCAAAGTATTTTTTTTTTACCAATAATATTGTTTTAACCCTTTTTAAGACCAAAAATGTATATTTTTACTTTTTATTACGACCTACAAATGCAGGATTAAAGCGAAATTATTTTTAAAAATTTTCAATTTTAGAACATTCAGTAAAGTTAAAAACCGTCATTAAACCTTAAAGATTGCTTGTAAAACTGACAAATAAACACAAATCTTATTTAATCAATCAAGTTACCAGCCTAAATTATTTTTATTTATATATAGTGTAAAATGAAGTCACTTTCCGCCGTCTCTTTTAAACTACACTACGGATTTTAATGCCGTTTTCATCAATATATAGAGTAATTCAAGAAGAAAGTTTATTTGTAATACAGGACAATGCGAGCATGGCAGCTAGCAAATCAAATAATAACTTCCATCCATATCTGTCGTGTTAAAATTCTTCTGATACCAAACATAAAAGCAACTTTTCTACTTCTCCTTTCTGGAGCTACGCCAACAGTGTTGGCTCGTACAAAATTCAATGAAAACATTTTGGCACCGTTCGTTGTCAAAGTTGATAATTTTCATCTCACAGGTATTTATTCATTGAAGAGTCTGTTCGAGTGTGATATTGAAAATATTGTTTGATAAAGTTTCGATAATTATTCGTTTGTAATCAAGTAGTCACTATGTACCAAAAAGTAGCAATTTTTTTATTAAAGAATAACCAACAAATCTTACACCACAATCATCTAACAATTAGGCTTACAACAGTCAATTACAATGATACAGCTTTAATCACAGGTTGTCACGATATGTATTTATAGCAAGTAAACAAAGTAAACATAACATTTTAGGTGATGTTTGGGTAAAATATTATTTTAAATTCAAAAAAACAAAAAAATACAATTTAAAAGCTTTACACAGAACTCATTAAGACGTCACGTTCAAGACTATAAGTTCAGAGCTGAAATTATTATACAAAATTTTGCTCTTGACATGTCATATTCGCTCTTCAAATAGAAGCGAATAAGACATGTCAATATACGTGTATCAATACGAATGTAAAACTTGATTATAATGAATTTGGATTCTGTTGATTGCCGAGAAGTGGTCTAAATTGGTTCTGAATCTTTGACACGAAATGGTCCGTGTCTTGAAGATATAATATAAAAAAATTTAATATATTTTTATATTAAAATAGAAAGAGTGTTATTTTATCCAATATGACCTTATATCATTGGTCCATAGTTCGATGTAAGAAGAAAGTGAATAATTAATTTCCATTAGACAAAATGTACGAAAAAGTTTGTTCGTTTAATACAGGATTAGTGCTGCCGTATACACTGAGCTTTGCGTAATATTCCCTATTAACCGATTCTTACATAAATTTCTGTTCTCAATTACGTATAGTAAACCAGAAACTTACGTATAAAATATTCCAATGGTACGACAAATTACATATTCTACTACCATAAATTCAATAATCTGTTTACGACAGATCCCATAATTTTGGATAAACTAGTTTACTAACAGATCTGCCCGGATCACAATTGAGAAGTTCCCGTTAGTTCCAAAACATTTAAACAACTAATTAGACAGTTAAATTAACTGTGTCGGGAGACAATTTTGTTGGACGAACAAAAGAGAATTCTTTGTAATTAAATTTTCTTTGTTTTGTTAGTAGGCAAAAACCTATAAACATGTTTTATAACAACGCCCACTGTTTTTGGAAACTTAAAGGCAAACAATAAAAAGAATACAACTTAATTGAAGTTCTGCAATCGAATGACCGGTAGGAACACAGGAACCAATTTTTATTTTGATAAACAGTGGGCGTTTTATGTCGGCTTTACATTAAGTCCAAAATTAAATAAATTTTCGAAATTAGACTTTTTTTAAATACATTCATCATCAAATACATTTTTAACGTAAATGTAAAACATTTACGTTAAAAAATTGATTTAGCCAATAGGAAAATACTTTGAAAATTTCAAAAGTAACTAAGATGCTATTTCAATTCTTTCTTTTCACAAAAATATTCAATAAGACATTTTATTAAAAATAGATTTTCTCTTGAAACTCCGATGACAAAATATTCCGAGAGATGATTTATAACAGAAAGGCTCGACTCCGTATGATATTGAATAGTCTCAATTCATAATATTATGATTCCAACCTCGCCCTAGTTACGTCATCCAGTCTTTTCTACTTAAGGCAATAAATTTAATTGCCCCATGGCCTAATTAAAGTAATGGTAACGTAATATTTGATTGGCCACCCCTTTCTGGCTAATTCATTTGAATAGAAACTATTTACATTAATAAGCTTTAAGTATATTTGGAGGATGTAAGTTGAAGAAAAGGATTTCGATGATGTTTCCATTGCTATAATATACTTCGCACAAATAGCTTTTCAATTAAAACTTTTTCATTTTTATTAAAATATTAATAGTTATACCTTTTACCACAATATTATGTTTTTTTATAAACCGAGACAGGGATGGCATGAAAAATAAACTGACACAAACGTTATAAACCACTTCTTTTAGTAATAAAATAAAACAAGATAAATTGTGATTTGAATGAAAACGTTTGAAAATAAGGGTCAAAGACTGAGATTCAGTATAGATTGAAGATTTTGGACTAAAGCCAAAAGATTTAAACGAATCATTTATGATCGCAATTCGGTCAAAAGATAGAAGATGTCCAATATTTGCTAGCTGAATGTGTTAAGAATGAAGCAGAGAGGAATAATTTACTTTTTAATCTTAGCACAATAAAAATGACAGGTGTTGTAGTCGGATGAAGCTAGAATGTTATTCAACGTGGTATACAAAGTTATGTTTTCATAGATATAGACGGTATATTTGTTATTTGGTTAAGATTGGGCTGATATGATCACTAAGTTCAAAAGTCCATAAAAATAAGAATAAAAAAAGAAATGATCGCAATGAATGGTCTTAATCTCTTCTATTTTTTCTTATAGTAAAAGCTAAATACTTTTAATATGTAACACGTTATCTTATTATTATTCAATATCAGTCTCTTTTTTTACCTGCTTATATTTTTCTAATTATAACACTGTTTTTTATCATTAGTATTGTCAATCTCAGTTAAGCCAATTAAAATTATGCTTAATATTTAATTCCTATTACTGAATCTTGGTAACAAAGTTGTGAAATAGGTAAACTGTAAATTTTTATTGCCTAACACTGAGGGTTAGAAGAATATAGATAAAAATTTACATTGAAATAAATTGTTCTTATGTTATCTGAAAATAATGCACTTTGCATTTTAAAGTTATACTTTTTGATCTTCTCTCTAGGTGATATTCAAGAAAAAAACTATAATAACGGAAGTAAATTAACCAGAAATCCAATTTTAACAACTAAGTATTAAAACATATTTTCCTTTGTTGCAGGTAGCCCCGAATATAATAGAGTTTGTGAAATCCCCAGTGAACATTATAGACTTTATAGCGACACTCAGTTTTTATATGGATGTGGTGGTGGAATTGACAGTTGTGAAACAGTATGTGGATAAAGCAGACATATTGGAATTCATATCGATAATAAAGATTCTAAGGCTATTCAAGCTGACGAGGCACAGTCCAGGGTTGAAGATATTGGTGCACACCTTCAAGGCGTCAGCGAAGGAGCTGACGTTACTAGTGTTTTTTCTGGTGCTCGGCATTGTGATATTCGCCAGTTTGGTGTACTACGCGGAGAAATCGCAGGTTTGTAACTCTGATTGAATATAATAGCACTTTATCGTATTAAGGAGAAGTACTTTACAAAATCGCCGAGATGTCCAACATAAGCAACTTTCTATAAGATAAATAAAAATGTAGTACTTATAATGCTTAAGTGATCAAATATAAATAATAAAATAAGGGTTGATACAAAAATAGTTTCATTTTTGGTTCGTTATTTTAAATCATATTTACTTTCTCTCTATTTTTTAAAGCTAATATCGGAGATAATGTCCTTGCTATTTATTCCTGTAAACGGAAGATGATGACCGTTTTTGTCAATATTAGATACAATAAAATAAAATAAATAAATTAAAGGTTCAGGGCTGTAAAGCCTAATTTTCCACTCTTGTTGTTTTTTCAAAATAAAGTAAAACCCTTTCTTAGTCATCACTATGAACTCATCTTACAAAAAATCTGCCATCTGTAATATATAATCTTCGACATATTATCATTATGTCACGTCAATTGATCATGATCAGATTTTATGATAGTTTAATATCTGTAATTAGAATGTTGCCCTGGTCTTCAGTATTAAGATCATGGCCACTAGATTTGTCTTTATCAACTCAATCAATCATGAGTCGTAAAAAACCCGATTGGATCGAAAGAATACATTATTGTAATATATATTTTGGTCCTTTGATTGTCTACATTGGCATGGGGTGATACTTAATTATTTTCATCTATTTGTAATCTAATCAATTCTCAGGAACCCAATTAACTATCGTCATAAAAACTGGCACAAACATGTTTTCTTTGAACAAAAACTAATATACGTCCAATCTTTTTCTATACTCGTAACTAGTAAAGTGAAATGTCCATTAGTTCTACCAGTCTAGACCAAGCCATGTCCTTATTTCCTTTTTAGACGACTTCAAAAAAGAGGTTATCGATTTGACCATATTGAGATATAGATAAGCAAATATTTATAAGTGTATGTCTTTGTTTAGATGTTTCTCGCAAATTAGACCTTGGATCGCAATGATTCTGTTGATCTTCGTGGCAAAGAAGCTCGCACGCCAGTTTCAAAGTTGCCTTCCTCATAGATCCGATGGTTCCCGGTCGAGTCAATTGCTACATATTTACAGGGTGTCACACTAACTGTAAATCTAATAAATACTTGTGACATGCGATTTGTTAAATCAATAAATGAGTCAATGTAGAAAATGAACTAATGTCGAGGGGTGTTGTAGTACTGCCATTTTTTAGATTTTATTAATACAAGTTATTTAGATACTTAATTTGGGACGTAAGCTATTTATGATGCGCTCCAATATTTATTTATTATTCTTTTATTGATTGATTTCTTGGCTTTAAATTTTGAGAACAATATGAGTTTGATATGAGATCAAGATAGAAAACCTGTAACGTAAATGCTCGTCCAAGAGCAGACTGTGGATCAGATCATCAACTGCTAGTCTCAAAGGTGCAGCTTAAACTGAAGGCAGCTAGGAAAATAGAAAATAAATAATTAAATTATTAAGATTTAATTAACTTAAAAAAACAAATATTCTAATATTTTTTCCCATATCATCATAATAATAAATACATTCTTTTTCATAATAATTAAAACATATTCTTCGCCGAGACGGGCTCTTTAAATTTGACATTTTTAAGCGAGAGCGCAGCCATTTTGATGTTAAGTTCCAAGTAAGACTCGTATAATTTTTCACGACCTCGCTCGCTAATTTCAATGGTGTTGAACAGTTTTTTCCTCGTCTCTTCACAGCGAACATTCCATTGTTTCATCTACATACATGTATGTATAATTAACGTGCCCAGCTGACGTAACGTTCCAATTAGTGGCGATTCAGTGCATGTTAATTAAAGGGGCGAGTTTCACGGCTACCGTGTTTACAAAAACCGTGGCAGTCATGAATGAGAGTTAATTGCCTATCAAACAGTTCGATAAACGAATTGGGAATGTTCGATGAAGGGGTGTAATTTAATTATATGAAAACTATGTACAAATTTTTTTTTATTTATTATAATTATAATACTATGCTGATAATGTGAAATCAATTAAGTCACCACATTATATTTTTTTTTCTATGATTTTGCTTTTATTACTTATCTATTCATTAAAACTATTTTTAAATAGGAATAGCCCATATCGAATACTTGGGGCTGGTAGATTTTAAAGCATTTTTCTTTAAAGATATTAATAAGTATAACATCGTGAATTCAAAAGTGATCAAATATAATAAGTTTTTATTTCATGCCGTAACAGCGCTGCGTTCGAGGCAAACGCCGAGGCTGTGTTACATACAGAACAGCAGTGCAGCAACACGACTAATACTTTCAAATGAGGAAGTTAATTTCTTTTGCTATTTTACAAACCTTTATTATTATGCCTTTTTTAAAAATATTTAGCAGAGCTTTTTACATAGCAAATCTTATTTTAGAAATAAGTGAATATTTTATCACGAAAATGTTTAATATTCAATATGCGTAAAGGACAATGTTCAGCACCCATACATTTTTTGCCTAAGAACCTCTAAGCATGTACTATCACTTTTCGTGTTCTAAAGTATCTGTATTTACGTCTAAATACATGTTTAAGTAACGGACAATTCTAAGAAATGTATAAATCAAAAAATATATTTTGGATTTGAGGTTATAATTTTAACAATTTTAGCGCGCGGATAGTCTTTTTTTTAATGTTTGTTTTACTTGCTTTTTGTAGGGAAATGTATGTCTACTTTGCTTTAAATATAGCTAGGTTCTGTAGATACTTACTAAGCTTGATTTAAAAACAGTTTCGGAGCTTAGATTCCAAGTTTGTGGTCACTGGTTGTTATCGAGATTTCATAACAGACATTTAGTAAACTTCACTATCTTATTGCTTACGAAATTAATCTACAAAAGTCTGCATGCCAGCAATATAGCTTTTTAGGGGTGGATATTTTTTAAAATCGGTTATAACCTAGTTTTAGTTTATGTACCTATCCATTACAAGCTGGCATAATATTGGTGTATTCTAGATATATGATAATTAATGACAGTTCCCTTTCTAGCGGAGTCTAGTGAATTCATAGTTTATTTCTAATCTTATAAACCTATCTATACCTATTTTACAATCTTGGGTACTGTACGAGCCAATGTACCTACTTAGAAATAATTAATATTAATATAATAAATTACACGATAACCTACATACCTACAATTGCAACGCTGCACTTTTTATTTTCGTTGGACAATTAATTTTAAAATAAATCAGTGTTTTTACAGCATTCAAACGGGTTGGTTTTATTTAGCACTTCTTTTAGAAGTAAATTCATCCCTTAGCAAGCAAGCATACGAGTGTGGGGATCGAACCCCTACATATGGTCCTTCGAGCAATCCGTGCGGGATCATTTCGGTTTTCGTGTCTGTGAATCAAACTTTTTCTATCACGTAATCGTATCAGTGTCTAGTGCTATTGAACATAGTGCTACACGTGAGTTCTCGCAAGGAATTGAACAGCAACTTGATTACCAATAGTGTTCAGGTGATCTCGATCATCGTTGCCCTTACTCTCGCTTAGGTGAGAGTGGTAACACTCAGCAGCGTCGCAGGTGGAACCATCTACTCTTCGGTACAACTTATTGCAATCAAGTAAGATTGTTCCTTTTATTTATCATATAAGCAATCATGGAGTCTCTTATTCAACGCCAATCTGATATCCTCGATCAACTAAAGCAGATTAATAGCAATTTTAACAAGGACTCGGCAAGTCGCAAGACACCTGAGTATATTAAAAAACGTTTAGATACGTTAGATGTCCTCTGGGTAGAATTCAATTCGAATAATGAGCAATTACAGTCATATAGGGATAACAAGCAACCATATTTTGTAGAGAATATCTTCCAACAAACCAAAGACTTCTATATGATGTTGCGTCGTACAATATCATCTTATAACAAGGACGAAAGACAGTCATCAGATAGAACCCCTCAGCATGGAAGGGTGAATGAACTTTTGACTCAGCAACGTACAAACTTTCGAGCCTTGATTAGATTAGTTCAGAGTATCGAATCCAGTGATATTACGGAAAAGTGGGAATTGGAAGATGAACTTTGTAATCTGCAAACGAAGTGGAATATCATTGACAACATGCATTTACAGATCGATAATATTCTTCAGGGAAGTGATCTAAGTTACGATGAAGAATATAGCATACACGAAAAATCATACAAGCAAATAAAACGTCAGCTTAATCAAAAATTATCAGCATCAGCCCATGTTCAGCAAGCAACTCCGGTTTTCGATATACCAGTTTTTTCGGGCAAATATACACAGTGGCCGACTTTTTATGACTTATTTACTGAAGCTATACATAAAAGCACTATTTTATCAAACACTCAGAAAATGCAACACCTAAAGTGTAAGGTAAAAGGGGAGGCCGAGAGGATAATTCAGCATCTCAATGTGACATCTGACAACTATGTAACTGCATGGGAGCTACTCACCCATCGGTACAATAATCGACAGGTATTATTCACCATGCAAATTGAGACTTTCCTGAATCAGCCTAATATCCATAAACAAACATCGTACGAACTGAAAAAATTATATGATACGAGCACTGAATGCATACATGCAATACACAACTTAGGTATTAATACAAACACCTGGGATCCTCTGTTGGTACATCTCTTAGCAAAGAAACTAGATGCAGCTACATATAGTGACTACAAGGAATCACGCAAATCTCCTAGGGAGCTACCTACACTCGAGGAGTTTATGACATTTTTGGAGAGTAAATTCATTGCTTTGGAACCGATACATAGAGAAAAAAGGGAAAAAGAAATGCCTACATCATCTGTAAAATATAACCAAAATTATCAGCATTATTATAAACATACTACTAACAACAAACCCTTCAAACCTTTTTCATCTTTCAAAGCAGCCTCGACATATACATCAAAATTTAGGTGCCCATTATGCACTTTAGATCATCAATTATTTAGGTGTAACAAGTTCATTAACCTTCCCTTGGA